ATCCATGCTAAATTGTACAAAACCCTGTTTTCAACCAAGGCTACAGGCACAAGGAGAAAGAAAAAATGAAGTGATTCCAGAGAGAGAGAGAGAGAGTACCTCCATGCAGATATTGGTAGAGCTGACCTACTAGATTGATAAGCATCACTTCGTTTGTCATCCATTCTTGCATCCTGATATTCCACAACAAAATTATTACTTGAATGACACATAGCAATTTTTAGAATGAAAGAAACTCTCCGGATCTTCTTGAAGCGACATGTATTCAAACTAAAAAGAGATCAATGAATGTGGCAGGTCTTAACAGTTGAACAAATAAAGGAACGGTCAATGCACCCATAACAAACAAAAGATGACCACATAACATAGAGCATCAAGTTCAAAAGATACGACAGTTTTAGAACAATTCTAACATAGAAGAAGTTTAGAGTAAGCATAAGTCGAGCAAATATGGAAGTGATGAATAGGAACTGTTCGCTTTGCATTCAGAGGAAACAGCAAAGTAATAAATGTTCCCATTTGTGTGATGGGACTGAACCTGAAAACTCTTAATATTTTCCCATATGTCCAAGACAATGTGAAAACGCAAAACGCACCCCACTCAATACATGCATCTTTATTTACCCAAAATAAAGAGAAATCCCTTAAACTTGATTTTCTTTTTCTTTTTTTAAGATGAAGCTGACCCTGGATGTCCTATCTGTTATAGGTTGAATTTCATCCTATGCCTACCCTTGTGGGCATTGCCCCGGCAGGGGTTTTAACAAGTGGATCAACACACTGGGGCACTGCCGACATGGTTAGGATCGACCCTTCCCTCGTCTAGAATAAAGAAGAATCACGCAAGCATAAATATATATGCTAAATAACATGAAATCCAACAAAAGAGCACATAATCATGCAGACTCCTGGGCCTTATCTCATATATTGGTAATACAACAGATACCACACTACAAGTGGGCACCTTCCACAAAATTTGGGGTTCATTCAAAGGTAATTAACTTTATGTAATAAAACTTTTTTAGAAGAAAAACATCGTAAAAACTACAGTGGTAGATCAACTACATCTTACTTCAGATTTATACATCTAGCAATCTTGCATATACAAATCTTTCGAACATCAACTCCTCAACTTGCTAACTTTATCCATCCTTAATACGAATAACAATCAAGAATAAAAGTTAGAGACTACGATTCAGTGACCTGAAAATATTTGGGCTTTTACATTTAAAGAAATAAATAGAATTAAGGAAAACCCGGGGATTGAAGAACTTGAAATTTTTCACATTTTCATAGCACCTAAGCTCCATAGAATCAACAAACTCATGCATGTGAAACTTAAAATGATGAAAAAATGCTCTTCCAAATGCTAATAACCCAAACCTCCACTAAACAAACAGGTAGAACCCCAGAACGCAGATCATAAAACTCCTCGGATTTTAACATTTCGAATCAAACACTGCAGCTGTCTAACTGAATCAGCTCAAGCAAAGAACCATGGCATGGAGCGAAAAATGTCGACAACCAATCATAAAATCAAAAACCCTAATTGCCCACAGGCCATAATCGCCGAAAATACCATGGAAAAACGAACAAAAAAAAGGTAAAAAAAGTCGGGGGCTTCATTTTTCCTCTAAGAACCAAAATCATATCTTTAAGAACCAGATGTATTGCGTTGAAAATTTACAGATTAAGCAAAGATAAAAAAAAAAAACATATGTGATAGGAGAAAAGCACGAAGCACAGTTATGGATTTTACCACTAAATTGAGTTCAGATTTCGCATCAGATTTCATGGGCTCTCTCTGTAATCAGTCGACTGATAAATACTTGGAGCAGATGGAGTGTAATAATTGAGTTGCAGCACAAGGG